AAAGCTGTAATATTCATAAAGAAATGATAAACCTTTAACCTGTGAAGTGTCGGAACGCAACTGTATGCGAGATACATAGTGTTTTCTATTGTGTCCTATATGTCGACATCGATAGATAGCTATAGAACTCCACTTTTGTTAATACGTATGTCTGCTTACTAGATGGCGCTCAATTTCCTGTATGCCCAATCACCGTTGCTGTCAAAAATTTTACGTCCAATGACTGCATATTAGTATACAAGGTGTTGTTTTAAAGCCGCGTGATTTTCTAGGAGGTAATTCGGCTATCGATTCTGAGTCCGAATCAATAAAAAAAATTGTAGGTAAATATTTTTCATTTTTCTGAAATTACGGAAATCCGTAAGTGCGAAATACACGCCGCCGTCTTATAACTGATTTTTATAACGCGGCTTAACACACACAAACTCAAACACGTAATTGATATAATTCCTAATTCCATAAAAATCCAATAAGAAACATTGCTGTCGCTTATTCTGAAATACTGTCGAATTTAAACGATTAATTGTAGCTGTATTTTTAACTATTGGCCCGAAACTTTCTCTTACTTTGAACCTATATGACTTCTGTGACATGCCCCCGAGAAATGACACGGCTTCAAAATTACACCTTGTGTAGTAGACAAGAAGCGTTGCGCTACAGGCTACATTAGAGACGGACAGTTAAGTTAACCGAAATTTAAGCGTCCATGACGAAACAGACCACAAATTGCGTTCAAAAATACAAAAAACATAACCTAACATCACGCCCTTCATCCCCGAAGGGGTAGGCAGAGGTGCACATTATGCCACTGTACAATGTAACACCCACTTTTCACCATTTATGTTATGAGTCCCATGTAATAGGGGGTGAGCCTATTGCCATATACCGGGCACAATTCCAGACTTCGTGCTACTACTGAGAATATTTAAAAACCCAGTAATACTTTGCCCGACCCGGGAATCGAACCCGAGACCCCTTGCCCGGCAGTCGCATTTACGACGACTCGGCCAACGAGGCAGCAATACATAAATCTTTCGTTTAAATACATAATTCTTTAGAAAACAATGCTTTTCCTAATCTTTAGTTCGATTTCAAGAACTCATATTTAGTCGCACTCGCGAATTTGATTTGAAAGACAAACATCACACTGCTGAAATAGGTTTATCTTTTTTATGAATAACACAGCTAGGATCTAAATTATAATTTACTTTTTATCTCAACGTACATCATATCAAAGAGTTGCATCATTATTTTATTAAAAAAAACATATGAAACATTAAGAAAAGTAAAATTTAGTAAAAATGTAAAATCAGTCGCAATATCTATGGGCTGTGAGATTCGCATTCGAGAAACTGTGACGTCATGCTATTTATATACAAGAACTACATACGGACACAGGCATGTCAAAATACACCAATCTTGCATAGATTATCAACTTTACTTCCTTGTTATAAGATTGAGAATCTATTGAAGGTGCAATTTGATGTGCTAATTCGTCCAACGGTCTAATTTAGAAAAAAGTTAATCGATTATATTTTACAAGAATCTATACAATAATGATAACGCCTTACAATTTACAAACTACGTGATATCCCCTAACTGTCAAGTTGGGAGAAAAAATGTGAATTTCGCAAAAAAAAAACCACAGAACGAAAAATAATCGGAAAGACGTCAAAAAATAACGTATAAAATCGGTAATTTTTTACGAAATTCACATTTCTTTAATTACGTTTTACATTGTAAGTCAAAATTATCGGTGCGCAGTATCACGCGAAACCTACCGGCTGAATAAAAATAATGCGCACTTTTTTTCGGCCGGAAGTGTAATCTATGAGTACATTACGTGTAGTAGAAAAAATATGAAACTATTTTTATGTGTTTAGCGTTACAGGCCTAGTGGCTATCCTATACGTTATCTGTGAACATTTATTTGTACCAAATCTTTATATATATAATTCTTCTGTGAGTATGTATGTCATTGAACTTGTCTCAAACGACTGGACCGATTTCGATGAAATTTTTTGTGGTTTAGATTCACAAATCAGCCCGGCAGATGGCACTGCAGTCGATGTTTAGGTTATTTATCCTAAACAGCTGAACTAATTTGAATGAATTTTTGTTTATACATTCAAGTGGATATGCAGGACAACGTCTGTTGGGTGCGCTAGTATATAATAAAACTTAGGTAAAACCCTTAACTGTCGTACTCAAATTTATTAAATGGTTACTTAAAACAGTCCTCAGCAATTGGGTAACTTTACTTAAACAAAAATAAATCATTTCGACTGTTCAATACAATAAAATATTTTAAAAAGTAATCACACTTTCATTAATTGATTTTATGACCAACTTAATTTTAGTATTTTTGCAGCAATTTTTTTAAGAAATAAGTATGCAGTTTGGCGGTAAAAAAAACCTGACGTCGCAATACACAATCTCGTACAAAATTCATAGAAAACTGTCATTTTTGATAGTTCGAAAAAAGTATAGAATTTGACTAGTTGGTATATATCCAATTCTGAGCCGCAGAAGGCCTAACGAGTTACCGAGGCTCTAAAATATATTTTTCAACTGAACAATGTAACACCAACTTTTCACTGTTTATGTTGAGTCCCATATAATAGGGGGTGAGCCTATTGCCATATACCGGGCACAATTCCAGACTCCGTCCTACTACTGAGATTTTTTTTTAAAAACCCAGTAATACCTAGCCCGACCCGGGAATCGAACCCAAGACCCCTTGTCCAGCAGTCGCACTTACGACCACTCGGCCAACGAGGCAGTCATGTAAAACAATGATCTTTTAATTTAAATAAATGATGAAATACTCTTCAAACCAGAAACACAGTACATAATGACCGTTTTAATTATATTTTTGTTTAATTCATTTGGTACAAATAAATACTCCAATATTCAACATTGTCAACAACGTTAATTCAGTTTGAACCTTACGTCTAGCTGTATAAGGATCATAATGGTGCTTACAACATCGTAACCTTCTCACTGCATTAAATCTTATGATACATTTATCATTTAACACTTTGAACTTAAAATATAACAACCCAAGTAAAAATTGCACCAAAAATCTAATACTTCCTAAGAAAATATACCATTTCCAAATAAGTTCAACCATGATATCAATTCAAACGCCGACCTTGGCGTATTTGTACAACCATTCATGTCATTAATACAATATAACCACTATACTTAATTCCGTAAGAGGGCGTCCATAAATTACGTGAGATATTTAAGGGGAGAGGGGGTAGACTCAAATCTCATCTAATCTTACGTTGAAGAGATTTAATCCAGATTGTACATGCTTAAGATTTAATTGTACATGCATTTGTATTATACGTATAGTATTCTATTGTTACATTTTTATTACATTTATAACTCTAAGCAATATTGATTACTAGTCTTAACTAGTCGTAAATAAAAGCACGAAGCAATTTTTTTTTAATAACAATCCAACGCGTTTACGTGAAAAACCAACATTATAAAAACCTCACGTGAGATAGGGGGATGGGGGAGGGTGTTGAATAAAATCTCACGAAATCTCACCAGGGGGGGAGGTAGGAACAAAAAATTAAAAAAACACCTAACGTAATTTATGGAAGCCCCCTAATGGTTCGAAAGCTACCAACGACAAGTACCAATGTGACTTTTTCCGAGTTATATGTACTTTCTAAGATTATTAAGACACCACTGACAAACGGTGAAGGAAAAGATCGTGAGGAAACCTAGCCTTATAATTTCTAATTACAAGTTTGGATTCGTTGACCCGTATTGAGCAAGTGTGGTGAATAATGCTCAAACCTTCTCCGTCCTTTAGTCAGCAGTGACCACTTATAGACTGTTGATGGTCATGATCGTGACTTATTGCCGTAAAATTCAATTTACTTTCATAGGTATATCACATCAATGAAACATAACATCACGCCTTTTATCCCCGAAGGGGTAGGCAGAGGTGCACATTATGCCACTGTACAATGTAACACCCACTTATCACTATTTATGTTGAGTCCCATGTAATAGGGGGTGAGCCTATTGCCATATACCGGGCACAATTCCAGACTTCGTGCTACTACTGAGAATATTTAAAAAACCCAGTAATACTTTGCTGACCCGGGAATCGAACCCGAGACCCCTTGCCTGGCAGTCGCACTTGCGACCACTCGGCCAACGAGGCAGTCACATCAATGTTTGCACAAATACACCAAATGTTAGCTGGAATAATAAGAATGAGGGTTCCCGTGTGCTTACTAAATCTTGGTAAAGCATAGCCCTTTTCGTTCAATTATTAAAACTGTCAATAGTTGACGCATTAGCTTAACTGACTAGCAAACAGTCTATTGCGTCAATTGGGATGTTTTCTCAGTCAAAAATATATAGTTTTTACTTTTAAATATGTTACCAAACAAACAATTATTATTCATTTGACGACAATCTCAATTGGGACGATGACAGGGTATAAAAATTAAAAATATAATTAGTCCGTAAGTTAGGTAATGACAAAATATTAGATACGTATTTTTTTATTTTGTCGTATAATAAAACAATACTTAGATAAAACGAATCAAAGTATAAGAGGAGGTTAAAACGTCATTTCTACGTATAACATGTACATAGAAGTGACGTCACGCAACATTTCAAATCAATATATCGTCGAAAGTATTCGTTTCTGTAAGAAAATAAAAAATACGTGTCTAATGATTTAAAATAATCTACCAGACGGACATTAAAATAAAAATTAGGCATCTACCCTATTTTTGTAGTTAGTGAATTCATGCAGGCAAAATCAAATCACCCATCTGAGGCAACCTTAAATATGACATTTCACACAATATCATGGCATAATTATTACAAAAAAAAGATATTAAAATAGACCAATATATTGAAAACATCCCAATATCATTTAACCCTCGCAAAACATAAGACAAACATAAAAATCCATTTTAATAAAAACCTGTTACGAAGTTCTAGCTTCCTATTAAAAAGTTCTATGTGATAAGTCGGGGTGCATGAAGTCCGTAGAGTCGGCGAGCGAGCGGGGGCCTGTGTCTGGGCTCGTCCTCGCTGTGGGAGTTGTGAGGGGCCCAGTCCTGCAGCCGGGCCCCTGCGGCTAAACGATGTGTCAGTCGATGCGCTATACTGAAGCCCCCGCTACCTTCTAACTGAGTTAGAACTATTATTACTTGTCTGGAAAGGAGATATTGAATGGTTATTTAAATTGAAGGTTTATTTTATAGATTGTGGGAGTTATGAGGGGCCTACTCCTATAGCCGGGCCCCTGTATTTCACCATGTCTAAATTCTCAAATCCACCAAAAGGCCGGCAATGCACTTTTAATTCATACGGTGCGGGCGTCCATAGATACTGATTGCTTACCATCGAGTGATCCATCTTCTTGTTTACACTAAAAATGCTATATCATAAAAAAGCATATATCGAATTGAGAACCTCCTCCTTTTTTGAAATCGGTTAAAAAGCAACGAAAATACGTACCTAAAAAATATTAATTAGAAAAGATTCAGTAGAGAACTGACCGACCTTTCTGGTCCTAACTAAATGATTTTGACATTAGACTTTTATATACGTAATTCCCAAGCAAAAAGTTATAGGGACATAAATCTTTGAAACTAAGTTTATCACCAGCTTCAAAATGAAAGTGGACCTCACCTATGCAGTGGAGGTACAGAGTCGATAGTCTTCAGTTCACCCCGAGTGGACACGACGTTGTAACTCTCCTGGCAATCACACTTCACGTGGATCCATTTGTCGGTGTGTCTGTTTTCTACCATTACTACTAGTCCGGCCCAGCCCTGGAAATTAAAATATCAACTCGTATAAATCACATAACATAACAACACGCCTTTTATCCCCGAAGTGATAGGCAGAGGTGCACATTATGCCACTGTACAATGTAACACCCACATTTCACTATTTATGTTATGAGTCCCATGTAATAGGGGGGCCTATTGCATATACCGGGCACAATTCCAAACTCCGTGCTACTACTGAGAATTTAAAAAAAACCCAGTTACTACTATGCCCGACCCGGGAATCGAACCCGAGACCCCTTTCCTCGACCAACGAGGCATTTTGGTTTATAGACCTTCTCTAAATCAGAAGATTTGTCATCACTACACCATTGACAAGTGGTATATTCGAAAATGCTGCTCAGTCTCAGTCCCTTAATAGGTTCGGCAAACGAAACCCACGGAAAGAGTAGTGGTGGCGATAATTATATACTACTCCAATTGTCAACTGACAATATATAATTCTTTTAAAAATTACGTTTAATAAAACCGACTTCAAGCCCTTCTTTTTTGAAATCGAATTTATTAATATACTTCAACCGCATCAAAATCGGATCAGCTAATTGCGCGACAATCGCGCACCATATCCATATACTTATACAGGTTAAATTGATAACCTCCTTTTTTTGAAGTCGGTTAAAAAAACACTTAGGAATACTGAAACGTTACTCAATTTTAAGTCGTGCCGTCTCCGTCATTTTACAAAGAATTAGTGGAGACAGAACTATACTTAAGCGGGACTTAAAATTGAGTAGCGTTTCAGTATTCCGACATTAACTCGTCGAGTACCGGTTTTATAGACACAATTAAAGAACAATAGGTCGCGGTCACCGGTGACCGCTTGGTGTTTGACAGTTTAAACACGTACCTTAGTGAGATAATACGCAGTCATGCCCTGCCGGCCTTCGTGCCTCTGTCCCCGTGCGAGCGTGAGGCCGATGATGGCGTCGGCCAGTAGATGCGGGTGCAGCGCGGGGCGCGCCACGGCCAGCGGCTTGCTGGAGTGCGCGGCCAGCACGTGGCGCGGCCAGGCGGCGCGCCCGGCCGCCTCCAGCCCCGTGTGCCAGTGGTTGAACGCCAGGCACACCACTAGGTAGAAGCCCTTTTCTAACATCTTGTGGCAGCCCACGAAGCCTCGCACCTGGAAAATGTTATTATCATCATTGGCGTTGTAATAATTAGTAATTTAACATCTACTTAATCACTTAAGTATGCGTCGTTGGCCGAGTGGTCGTAAGTACGACTAGGCAAAGGGTCTTTGGTTTGATTCCCGGGTCGGGCAAAATATTAGTGGGTTTTAAAAAAAATCTCAGTAGTAGCACGGTGCCTGGAATTGTGCCCGGTATATGGCAATAAGCTCACCCCCTATAATATGGGACTCATAACATAAATTGTGAAAAGTGGCTGTTACTTTGTACAGTGGCATTAAGTGCCGTAATGTGCACCTCTGCCTACACCTTCGGGGATAAAAGGCGTGATGTTACGTTAATCACTTAAGACTATTCAATGAAAGCGGAATAAACCGATAATACATTACCTCGTGATAAATATTGCACATCAAGTTTTGGAAAGAGATAATTTTGTCTTAGAAACTTTTTCTTTCTGTCTTTTTTTAGGGTTCAAAGAGACTACTCGATTAATTGTAGCGTATACGGTATAAAACAATATACGTACACGGTGACTTGGTCAATATTTTCAAAGACCGATGTGCAATATTACGGGCGTGCTAGCTCACCTGTCTCTTACTATGCGCAACAAGTTTCCCGACTTGCGCATTGGGTCCCGACTTCGTTCGGAACACAACGACACACAGATCCAACTGTGAACGCTGACTTTTCTCTGAATTCCTGTAAATATATATTTTGCTTAGGGCTTAGTACGTACGAAGTTTGTTTTACGTTAAAAGTAATCGATACGAGTACGCATTCGGCGCTCCGATTGGTTAGCTCATTGCAGCCGGCCAATCAGAGCGCCGAACACGTACTCGTTTTGATTACTTTAAACGTGAAACAAACTTGTACATACTTACGTTATAGGTTCACGTACATATAAAGACTATTCTTGCGCAAATTATTATGTTAAAAGTTCTTCAATAAATCTAATATTCCTTTTACTAAATAAAACATATGTGCGAATACTCCAACGTTACTCAATTTTAAATCGCGCTCAAGTATAGTTCTGTCTCTACAAATTCTGTGTAAAATGACAGAGACGGCACGATATTTAAGTACAACTTTTTGAGTAGCCTTTCAGTATTCGGGCGATAGTCGTTCATTTTAAGTATAAAAGTGTGGGCGAGCCATGCTTCGAAACAGAAAACCGACGTAAAGCAACGCTTGCGTTATGTTTCGTCGTATGAGTGAGGTTACCGGAGGCTCAATCCCCCCCCCCCCCACCATTCCCCAATCTTTGAATCCCCAACAATCCTCAAATTCCTAATCCCCAAAAGGCCGGTAACGCACTTGTAACGCCTCTGGTGTTCCAGGCGTGGGCGTCGCCGATTGCTTACCATCGGGTGATCCGTCTGCTCGTTTACCGACTTATTCTATAAAAAAAATCTTTTTCGAATCAATAACAAACAACGTTTTAAAGATTAACATTATTTATGTACTAACATGCGCAAACTTGCGCAAATTATCATCTTAATGCGCAAACTATATATGAAACTACCTCTGTCCTTCTTGAAAGAGAGTGAAGTCTACTTCAGTGGGTTGGCTGGCAGTGAGGAGTAGACAGGTTAGATGCCGTGTTGAGGACATTGGGGGCAATATACCCGCCAGGCGGACTTCATGCCATCCCACGCGCACTTTACATATGTCTATGCAGTCGAAGTACCTGCGAAAGTTTCAATTTTATATATACTGTATAAAGAAAAATCATATTAAATAATGTATTAAGTTGACTTGGTTTTGTACGCAATATTGTGTCTTTTTTCATCTTTTGAAATTTTGCATTTAGATTTATGTGTTTTGAAATACTTGACGATATGTTTTTATAATAACTATCGTGAGACATTCTAAATTAACTAAAAATCGCGAGTTACTCACGTGAATATACTGAGAAAGGCTCTCAGCATAATTTATGGTTTCTATAAACAGAACTAATATCCCTCTGAATAAGAACTGCTACTTACTTGAGCACGTCGTCGAAGCTGATCCAGAAGACCCCTTGGTCCTTGTCGTGGTGGTGCTGCGTGAGCGCGGCCCTGGCGGCGGGCGTCCAGCGCGCGCAGCCGGCGGCCCAGGCGCCGCGCCACGTGTAGTGGCCCCACGGGTTGCGCAGGCGCAGCAGGCGCGTCGGGGGGCCGCCGCCCGCGTCCGACAGCTCCAGCACGTCCAGCACGGAGTACGCGTGCCGGGGGCGCAGGCCTAGGCGCTGGTATTCTTCTTCGTCAACCTTGAAACATATTTAAGAACTTGTTATATATCCAAGAATTTGGAATGGCAAATAAAATATATTAATGTTACAGGACCAGATCTATGTAATGTAACCCAGATTTCAGATTTAAACATTTATATTGCTTGATTGTTACTCTCCATTGACAGAATAAACAAATACCGCAACTAAAATATCAATAAACATAATTTTTGTTTAACATATTATAATTAACCGACTTCTTTTCAATTCGACTTTTTATTCCAAGACCACTAAACATACTTGCGCAACTTGCGCAAAAGTACACACAACATTAACACATCTCCAAAAAATAATACACCAGAAGACTCATAACCAGTGATCGGAAAAAGGTGAGCGACACCAAAATTATGTAATAAATAACAAAAGCTAGAAAGTAACCGCAACTTTTGTCAAGATTTTAGGTTTTTGTTAATTTTGGTGTTTTGTTTAATTTTATTTTATGCTCTTTCTTACATCTTAAAATATTTATTGTTGAAAACAACAAAAGTTTTAATTTTGTTTGGTTTTGTTTAAGAAATAAAATCACGAAACGAAATCAATTGTTATCTGTATTAATAACAATTATATTAAATGTAATATATAAATATCCCGAAACTGGAACCGGAACTTTCCCGAAAAAAATGTAGTAAGGAAGTCTCCACTTTTTGTTTTTGTTCCTTGAAGTTTAGGTAAATAAGCTCACCTTTTTCCCATCACTGCTCATAATTTAAAGTATAAAGTACCTTCATATTCCCTCCCCCACAGCTGGCCCCCATCAGAAAGCAGGCCTGCCGCGACGACAGTAGCTGTGCCCAGACGAGGTCCCTGTCTAGTTGCTCCAGGGGCGCGCCGCCGCCCGCGCCGCCCGCGCCGCCCGCCTGCAGGGACACCGACTCGCACGGGGCTCCCGTCAGCGTGCAAAGACCTTGAATGCAGAGATAACAAGTTACGAAATAAGTATACAAAAATATTCTAAGTTGCCCGTGTCCTGGAATCGGACACGTATCCCAGACTTAAGTGCTGAGGTCCAGTCAGGCAAGTTAATAAAAATTAATTCTAGACAGACAATAATTATTGGTTAGCTACAGAGACGACCAAAGTTGCAAATATATGACTTTTGATATAGTACAATTTAGTACAATATTAGCTATAGTATCTATACTAAATTCACCTTTATTTTCCTATCTATAACATAACATAACATGGCTGACAGTACTTGTACTTACAAACAATAGACTTAGGGCCTATTTCACAATATCTGGATAGCCATTATCTACCAGATAAATTTGTATTAAGAACGTAATTTGTATGAGCTATCTGTCACATAAGTTTATCAAGTACTTATATAGAGGTGGTGAAACAGGTGCTAAATGAAACTAACAGTCGATTGTTGTAAAAACGAAAACCAAGAATATTAACACCACTTTGCTGTACTCATTGAGTTCATAAAATTAGATAATTTATTCTTCAAAATTATAGTACATACCTTCAATAGCTCTCCCCGACACTAGAGCTTCATAGCACCCATGTAATTTAGCAACAGCTTTCTCTATTAACGGTACCCATAGCTGTTTTCTTTTTGCCTGAAAACAAAATTAATGCATAATTAATATTTTTCAAAGGGTAAATCGCAAATGTTATAATGAATTGAAATATTCAAGAAACTATTAACATCAATACTATAGTTTCGATTTTTTAAAACAGTAATACTGTCTTAAAGAAGTTGCTCTGTATTTAAAAAATCGTAAGTTTAAAATTTTTACTACATATTTTTGTATTGAAATAAATAAATAAAATAAAATAATGTTTATTTCGGACAAGAGATACATCCATAAGGGTTAGTAAGAAAAATGTTAAAATCTTAAAAGTACGTTAGTACCTATTTTGTTACAAGCCTACTGTTGGGAACACATTTTCGCACGATACCATAGATAGGTGAATCGTAACTCCCTGCAATGGTTTTCACGATGGAGTTGGAACTGGACCGCACCCTGCAGAGTAGCGACTTGATCAACCTAAAGTCAGTTCCACACAAACGCAGTCAAACGCTCATGAAGAACGCGATACTTTTTAGTATAACATCTTAGACCCTCTATTTATAGGGGGCTTGTCTTGCTATGTGTCTTCTAGGGGTCTGTCTAAGGACAGCTCAGTTATTCCACTCACAAATAGTGCATAATTTTGTTCTGTATGATAAATGAGTAGATGGATCATATGATGGTAAGTGATCACAGCTCTTCATGGATATATGGAAAAACTATAATTCTTTTATAAACTATTTTAAAAAACAACTTCAATAGTTCCTATTTTGAAGTCGGTTAATTAATATATATATATAAAACCTTATTCTAAGTGTAACAAATATTTTTTTGAGTAATGCGCCAAAATCGGTACTACCAATCGCGAGTTAATTGTGCACAGGCCGGTAAAAATGAGAACATCCTTATTTATTTAGAAGCCTGTTAAAAGTGTTTTTTTTTAACGTTGCCCCACGCTATGATTTTCTCTTGTATCGTGGATGCGTTTACGAATATACAAGTTCACATACCCATGACATTCAGATTCGGAACAACAATCTGTGGATCACACGAAGAGTAGTTCCGTGCGAGAATCGAACCCGCGATACGTTGCACCGCGCCAAGTCAGTCAGAGTCCCGTACCTGCGAGTAGACGAGGTGTCCCTTCTTGTTGGCGGGCAGCAGGTCGTCGACGGTGACGGTGAGCCAGCGGCCGTCCTTGCACAGCCGCAGCTGGTAGGCGCCCAGCCCCGGCTCGCCGCGCACCACCACGCCGCGCACCAGCGCCGCGCGCTCCGCCAGCACCGCCAGCGCCGACAGCAGCCAGCAGTTGCCCAGCACGCCTGACGCACGGCTCGTTTATCATCATCATCAACATCTTAACATCACGCCTTTTTATCCCCGAAAGGGTAGGCAGAAGAGCACCATACGGCACTTAATGCCTCTGTACAATGTAACCACTTTTCACTATTTATATTATGTGTCCCATATAATAGGGGGTTAGCCTGTTGCCATATACCGGACACATTTCCAGACTCAATTCAACCCGGAAATTGAAATTTTAATTTTATTAAAATGAGTAATAGTTATCTGTATTCAAAATGTTGACTTGTTGATTTGATATAAATAAATTTTCAGTTTTGTTTTGTATAAAAAAAGAAAAATATTAATTTCCCTATTATTATCTAGAAACATTATTATTATTATATTTTACGGTTTAAATTAATCAACATACGTAATTAATCTTATTTACTTACTCTCACTAATATTATAAATGTAAAAGTTTGTATGTTTGTGTGTACAGTTGTTGCTCAATCACATCAAAATGTTAAAGTCAAAGTCAAAACCGTTTATTTCAATTAGACCAGGGTGGCACTTTTGAACGTCAAACAACAAAAATTTATAAGTGAAGTTAGTTGCTCATTCCAAGGTGTAGATTCCTATGGAGAAGATCGAGCAAGAAACTCCAACGGCTGAAGGAATCGAGACAAAATGTGGAACAAGGATAGATTCCGGTGTAGAATAACACACAAGCTACTTTTTTCCCACGAGAATGCGGGCGAAACCACGGGCGGAAGTTAGTTCTAGAATATGTTTTATACACTTCAAAAGTCATGTAACGAACCTTGCGATATATCAGAAGGCCTAGGGTCCCGGAAGACGACCCAGGGCAGTCTGTGGTCCGCCTCGACATGTATCTGATGGGGGCGCAGCCACCGTGCCGCAGCCCCGGCCTCCGCCCCCCCGCTGTAGTACAGGGACCGAGCCGATGCTGGGAACGACGAGTCCACGTATGGTTCTCCCGTCTGGAAATAAAATAAAATTGATTATAAAGTAGTATAAAGTTACCGACGTTATTCTTCCCGTGGGTGTGTTAGACCCTGATTATGATTAAGTAAAAAGCTTTTATTTTCACCACAATATTCGTAGTATTAATATACATTTGGCAGATTTTTAATTTTGGTACCCTAAAAACTAACATAACATAACATCACGCCTTTTATCCCCGAAGGGGTAGGCAGAGGTGTACATTATACCACTGTATAAAGTAACACCCACTTTTCACTATTTATGTTATGAGTCCCATGTAATAGGGGGTGAGCCTATTGCCATATACCGGGCACAATTCCAGACTCCGTGCTACTACTAAGAATATTAAAAAACGCAGTAATACTTTGCCCGACCCGGGAATCGAACCCGAGACCCCTTGCCTGGCAGTCGCACTTACGACCACTCGGCCAACGAGGCAGTCAATCCAATAATTATATCCCTTACCGAGGCACACTGCGCCAGTACTTCCTGCCACTGCGTCCACGCGTGACTCTCCTCGCTCAGGCGCAGGATCTCCATCGGAGTACTCTCTTGTCTCTCGCCGTCTGAACCTTCCGCTGTTGACGAATACAAAACAAATTATACAAAAATATTAGCTATATGTTATACTAGCCACTTCCGCGCGGTTTCACTCGCTCTGCTCGGCGCCTATTAAACGTAGCGTGATATTTTATAAATGGGCCTCCTCGATAAATGGGCTATCCAACACAAAAAGATTTTTTCAAATCGGACCAGTTGTTTCGGAGATTAGCGCGTTTAAACAAACAAACTCTTCAGCTTTATAATATTAGTATAGATATTATAGATTTAGTACATTAATGTCGGAATACTGAAACGTTACACAATTTTAAGTCCCACTTAAGTATAGTTCTGTCTCCACTAATAAAATTGAGTAACGCTTCAGTATTCCAGCATAAGTAGTACATAACACGTGTTTAATACATTTTTAAGTAAGGTTAGGCGACTATGCTTGCCTTTTAATAAGAGCATAACATAACATCACACCTTTCATCCCCGAAGTTGTAGACAGAGGTGCACATTATGGCACTCAATGCCACTGTACAATGTAACATCCACTTTTTCACTATTTATGTTAGAGTCCCATGGAATAGGGGTGACCCTATCACCATATCTGAGCACAATTCCAGACTCTGTGCTACTACTGAGATTTTTTTTAAAAACCTATTAACAATTTGTCCGACCGGAGAATTGAACCCGAGACCCCTTTGCCCAGCGACCGTTGACTGAGTGGTCGCAAGTGCGACTGGTGGAATTTCTCAAGTACAGGTTACCCGTTAATCTATTAACAAAGTTCAACTAATGCTTTTTTTCTAACTGTCTCTTAAAATACAGGATATCCTAGTTTAAGAGGCAGGGTTACTATAATTCTGTACAGAAATCTTTGCAACACACCGTAATGCCCTGAATTAGTCTACCCACTTGTTATGTCTACTTATATACATTTCTGTAACTTTTTTGCTAAATAAACGTATTATTATTATTTTTTTACTGTTTGTCGAAGAAGTCAGTTGTTTGAGAAACTGACCATTAATATTACGGCAGTTATCGAATCCTAAAAACACCCAGGTCAAGACTTACGTGAGTCGTCGTCGTCGAGCGAGGCCTGGTCGGGCGCGACGGGCAACAGGCGGGCCCGCGGGGACTGGCACATGTCGCAGCACGCCGCCGACACCTTGTTCACGTACGTACACTCCGAACATGGCCACTCGGATGGCTCTGGTCTGGAAAACATATAACGGTAAAATGGGGTGAATAGGGTTTGAACGGCGAAAAAGGACAGAAGAGGGGTGAATCGATACTATGAAGAACTTCCTTATATCTTATTCACCCCTCTTCTGTCCCTATTCACCTCTCGATCCCTATTCACCCCATTTTACGGTATGTAAGGTCAAAGGTCAAAAGTCCACCGTAAGACTACTATCGGTTGCGCTGCAGCGCTTATACACACATGCACACGCATATTTGTATCCGTGTGCGTACGCGTGCGTGTTTATGCGTACGCACGCGTTTTTATGCACATTAATATGAAATTACTTACACATTGCCGTGTGAATATCACTCACGGTGGCAGTGGACTTTTGAACTTTGACTGTGCGTTTACATGGTATTTCAGATGTTTAGAGGTTTCAGGTTTCAAGACATTTGTCACCACTGAACTTCACGTAGGTGTCGTATACCCAACTAAAGGGACTGCACAATTGACAAAAACCGGGCAACAATACTCTTTGATACACTTAAACTTTTTAAACTGCGATTTCCAATCCATTTGTCAAGAGTGAATGATAATAGATAATAAGAAGTCGGTTTTCTAACCTTCTCCTAACCCGTTTTTAACGTCGGTTATTTAATACAAAACCTTCTTTTAAAGTGTAACAAACACTTTTCTGAAAACTGCATTGAAATCGGTTCAGCCATTCGCTAGATAATAGCGCACAGACACTACTAGACGCTCCTCCTTTTTTGAAGTCCGTTAAAAACCTTTCGTGAAGTCGTTCATGATATTCTGAGTATTGAGGTTTTCACCCTTAATGGTTATAGCTACCTGATTTTAACCAACAAGCCATATTTATTTGCATTAACATTAACATAACATCACGCCTTTTATCCCCGAAGGGGTAGGCAGAGGTGTACATTACGGCACTTAATGCCACTGGGTCATGGGTCCCATGTAATAGGTAATAGGGGGTGAGCCTATTGCCATATACCGGGTACAATTCCGAATTCCGTGCTACTACTAAGATTTTTAAAAACCCAGTAATACTTTGCCCGAACCGAGACCCCTTGCCCGGCAGTCGCAATTGCGACCACTCGGCCAACGAGCCAGTCATATTTATTTGCAAAACCAAATAAATATGATTCCAGAAGTGACACAGAACAGAGGAGATTAAATATTGGACCAGATATTGAGAAATTGTTCTAGTATCTATGCACCCCTCTTCTGTATCTATTCACGTCTCGAATCCTATTCACTGCTTTGACTTATATTCTTACCTGAGATTAACATATTTGGGCTCTGGCGGCGGTGTCTTGTGTCGAGAACCACGTCGAGGCAACGCCGGGGTGTTGCGGCCGCGGCGGGGAGACGGACTACGGCCCGCTGAATAAAACAAGATTAATTATGTTAACGAATGGGCCGGCTCGACCGGAGTGATACCACGGCCTCACAGAAAACCGAGGTAAAACAACGCTTGCGTTATATTTCGTCGCATGAGTAAGGTTACCGGAGGCCCAATTACCTCCCCCCCACTCCCTCCTCAACCAATGAATCCCCAACAATCCTCAAACTCCTAATCCCCAAAAGGCCGGTAACGCACAATCGTACAAACGTGTTTCCTAAACGATACCAACATTATATGTAGATTGACATAACTTGCCCAATTAACCCCCCCCCCCCCTTCCCAATCCCTGAATCCCCAACAATCCTCAAACTCCTAATCCCCAAAAGGCCGGTAACGTACTTGTAACGCCTCTGGTGTTCCAGGTGTCCATGGGCGACGCCAATTGCCTTCCATCAGGTGATCCGTCTGCTCGTTTACCGGCTTATCCCATAAAAAAAGTCATCTACAATTCTGTTACAATCTTTACTAGGCAAGGTATACAAGGCATCAGAATTATTAGCAATATTTAAGTTGAATTAACCTGAAACAGTGTTCAAAAACCTCAAACGTTCTTGCAAAAAGATCAAAAACCATTAAATAATAATATTAACAAAGGTTGTTTACTCACAGGCACCTTGATTAGATTCACTAGTCGGTACAGTGAGTCCATGTTTGGGTACAGGCGGCGTCTTGCAGGCGAGGCAGAGGTTTGCGGACAACGGATTCTGCAGTGTACATGAACTACATGACCTAGAAATGTAAAGATATTAAAGATTACATTATTATCCTTACTTACCCTTACTTATATTATAAATCGGAAAGTGAGTTTGTTTGTTTGTTCCACTTTAACGCCGTAACTACTAAACCGATTGCTTTGAAATTTTGCAGACGTAAAGTTACAAGTCCGGATTAAATAATAGGGTAGTTTTTATCCCTGAAAAATTTGATATTCCCGAGGGAAAACAAAAGTATTGGTATAGATGGCGCTGTGTGTATTGGTATATGTCACATTGGCTTTTTATCCTTTTGTGACGTGAGCGAAGCCGCGGGTAAAAGCAAATTTTTTATAAGCACACGCTATCACTTCATTGGTCTGAGGCCTTAATATGAGTTTTTTTTTACGTTTAAAGTATTCGCAACGAGTACGCGTTCGGCGCTCTAATTGGCCCGTTCCAGTAAACCAACCAATCAGAGGGCCAAACACGAATAACTATCGCAATCGTAACGTAACAGTATCGAGCGAGTTAAAGTGAACCAACCAATCAGAACGCTTAGTACTGATTGGTTGGTTCACTTAAGCCGGCCAATCAGAGCGCCTAACGCTCTCGATACTATTACGTTACGATTGCGATAGTTATTCGTGCTTGGTACTCGGAGCACCGAATGCGTACTCGTTACGATTACTTTACACGTAAAATAAACTCGTTCTAAGGCCTCTGATACTTGACACCATCACAATTTCGTCAGCAAAGATGCTGAATTCAAATTGTTTTTATGTGAAAAGAAAGATGGTTGAAGAGTGACCGCCTGCGACGATTTTCACTAGATCTATCCTTGTTATGGTTTTTTTTTTACAGAAAAATTATCAATCATGACCTATGCTTAGGAAAGATAAAATGTTAAACTATTTAAAAAAAAACTGCATAGCCTAATAAAAATCAAGTATCTTTTACAATATCCCACTTTGAAATAGAATTTTTAATTATGAAATAATGGGGATCATGACAGGGTATGAAAATTAAAAATATAATTAGTCCCAGATGGTATGTCGTTGCTGCCTTGGAAGATGGGTAGGCCTTTGGTGTGGGACGCGACGTGTGTAGACACCCTTGCGCCATCACATCTTTTAAGCACCGCTGCATGCGTTGGTGCAGCTGCTTCCGCGGCAGAGGCCCTCAAACGGCGTAAATATTCAAATCTAGTGGGTAACTACTGTTTTGAGCCGTTTGGGGTCGAAACACTTGGGCCATGGGGTCCCAGTGCACACTCTGTGTTTAAAGACATCGCCCGTAGGCTTATCGACTCTACACGTGACCAGAGGGCTGGCTTTTTCTTCGGACAGAAAATAAGCATTGCCATTCAACGTGGCAATGCTGCCAGTCTTCTGGGAACTTTCCCCTGTGATAGTGATGCGGACGAATACTTTGACGCCTAAATTAAGGGTATAATTTTTGTTGTTTTCTTTTACTTTCTTTTTATTTAATAGTTTAGTATTAGTCCGTAAGTTAGGTAATGAAAAAATATTAGACACGTATTTTTTTATTTTGTCGTATAATAAAACAATACTTAGATAAAACGAATCAAAGTTTAGGAGTGGGGGCTAAAACGTCATTTCTTAGTATAAAATGTACTGAGAAGTGACGTCACGCGACATTTCAAATCAATATATCTTCGAAACTATTCGTTTCTGTGAGAAAAGAAAAAATACGTGTCTAATGTTTTTAAATAATCTATCAGACGGGCATTAAAATAAAAATTAGTCGTCTACCCTATTACGAAAAGTTGAATTTCAAAATGTATTTAAATAATTCGTAACTCACGTCAACAATGTATAAGTGGCCACTGCTGACCAAAAGCCTCTTCTTACACGGAGAAGGTTTGAGCATTGCTTACCATGCTTGCTCAATGCGGGTTGACGATTTTAAACTTATAATTAGAATTTAAGCCCAGGTTTCCCACGATATTTTCCTTCACTGTTTGTCAGTGGTATCTAAATAACCTTAGAAAGTATATATAACTCAGAAAAAGTCAAAAGGTTTAGAACCCACACCCTCATGCATGAGAAGCATGTCTTAAATCTCTGAGCCACCACGACATTTTTTGTATTCGTAACTCACCAAAAGTTATGTGGTTGCGGTCTAGACCCCGCGCAGGCTGCGCAGGCGGCGGCCGTGGACTCGTTCACTAGAGTACACCGCGTACACGACCACGTCACCACCGGGGCCGGCGGCGCAGGAGTCGAATCTGAGTCGAAACAAACATAATGACATTATCTTACTCATAATAAAAATATTTTTTGTTAGCAAGCTGCACCAGTTACCATCAGCCTATAACTCACCCTACTACTGAAAAAAAGCATCTTCTTACGCGAAGAAGTAATGAGAATTAATCAACACGTTCGCTCGAAGAGGAATAAGTTGTTGAAAATTATACTATGCATTTAGACAAGCCAGTTGTTTTGGGATAGGTGGTAAATGATCTTATCACCTGATATGGTAAGTAAATATCTAATCAGCGCCGTCCATGAACACCCATGACACTAGAGGAGTTACAAATGCGGTCTTCTCATGTTGCGGAGAACCTAACTGGTTACCGGGGCTCCGGCTCGACGTGCAGGAGAAGGAATGGGGTGGTTTTTAGTCAGTAAGAGTCTGACACTCCATCACGCCTCACCCAGGCGGGAGCAGTCATTCGATGATTTTCCCCCCTTAAACTGTCAAACACCGAGCGGTCACCGGTGACCGCAACCTATTGTTCTTTAATTGTGTCTATTATGACGGTACTCAACGAGTTAAAAATAGAACTTTTTTTATGGAATACTACGGTAAACGAACAGACGGATCACCTAATGGTAAGCAATCGCCGCCGCTTATGGAGACGCAAACACCTGTTACACGTGCGTGACCAGATTAGGAATTTGAGGATTGTTGGGGATTCGGGGATTGGGGAGGGGAGTAACTGGCCGTTCGGTAATCTCACTTATACGACGAAACACAACAAGCAAGTGTTGTTTCACTGTGGTTTTCTGCTCGGCCGTGGGACTCCGGTTGAGCCGGCTCATTTTTTTTTTTATGGCATAAGCCGGTAAACGACCTGATAGATCACCTGATGGTAAGCAATCGGCGTCGCCCATGGACACATGGAACATCAGAGGCGTTACGAGTGCGTTACCTGCCTTTTGGGGATTAGGAGTTTGAGGATCGTTAGGGATTCAGGAATTGGGGAGATTGGGGAAGGGGAGGGTAATTGGCTCTACCGCGCTCAATTTATTTCGAGACACGATGTGATCAGGTGACCTCTTTTATTAAATAAGAAACAAATAACTTACCAACAGCAAACAACAGTTCGTCACTGTTCAAGTCATGGTCTAAAGAAGCTATGGGCACCGTCAGCTTCTTCGGCTCCCTCGACATCTCCACCTTACTGCTACCGCTCGCTTCTGAGCTCTGATTGGTCGGACGTGTGCTGTGAACAAAAATGTTGGTATAATTCGACAAATAGTAAAGACGCAGAAATAATTGAGATGGTTCTCTTTGTAAAAACTAAGGATAACGTTTCGACTTTGCTATACATTAAACTATTAAAAATAAACAATACTTTAAATTATAATTTACATCCGATATACCTTTTTTTTTTTAATAAAAAAATGTTAAAAATTATACTTTATTTGCCAAAAAAAATTTGACGTAAAATTCCACATTGCCTCGAAGAATGTTAATTTTTGACAATTTGACAAATTACATTTATGACTATTGACAAATGATATAATTTACTTTCACTTTTAATCGATAACTTTTTTTTTAAACGTTGTCCCACACTATGATTTTCTCCTGTGTCGTGGGTGCGTTTACAAACATACAAGTTCACATACACATGACATCCAGACCCGTAACAACAATATGTGGATCACACAAAGTGTTATTCCGTGCGGGAATCGAACCCGCGACACGTTGCACGGCAGCCGGTTGCCCAGCCACCGCACCAACCGTGCAGTCAGTATTTAAAAACACTCACTTGTTATGCGGCCCATCGAGTACATCCCTGGACGCTAGAGTGACGGGTGCATGCGGGGGCCTGCCACTGCGACACACGTCACAGCAGCGCGCCCACCACGCGTTGTACGCAAACCAACACTCGTTGCACTGCCACATGCGGCTCTCGCGACTGTGGGGAGCCGGCAATGGATTGTATAGTGAAAGACTTGTCGGTTATCGTCCAAACCCTCAATGAAATGACATGAAATGGCGCCTTTTTATAACTACTAATCCTACTAATCGAACACGCGACCCCAGTAGTCGCGACGGCGACTATTGAATCCGATTGGATCAGGCTAAAAACAGCAAAGCCTCTTCTCACACGGAGAAGGTTTTGAGCATTAATTATCACGCTTGCTCAATGCGGGTTGGCGATTTCAAACTTATAATTAGAAATTACAATTATAATTAGAAATTAGAAGTCCAGGTTTCCTCACGATGTTTTTCCTTCACCGTTTGACAGTGGTGTCTAAATAATCTTAGAAAGTACATATGACTTGGAAAAAGTCACATTGGTACTTGCCGTTGATAGGTTTCGAACCCGCACCCTCATGCATGAGAAGTGGGCGTCTTAAAGCTCCGGGCCACCACGACATTAGACCAAAGAGTACTTGGACTCTTCTAAAAAGTGAGGTGAGCTATCATTTGTGAATAATTACTGTTAGTCATTCATCTCTGTCTATCCTTTTGAGATATACCGGGCGTGACGTGGCGTGACGTTTAATACACAGCTGTGACACAAACATAAACTACCTTGACCCATAAAAATACTACAATAAGAGCTTTATGTTATTCCGGACTCAATTTCAATATATATAGATATTTTAATATATCGAATCGTGACTGCATAAAGGACAGAAGGATTATATTTTATTTCAATTCAATAGAAGCGTCACGTGCATCAAATTAGACACAGTTATTTAAATAAATCTTTAAGGTCAATAGTGTCTTGACAAATCAAAACAAAACATAAAGGTATTGCTCAGAACCCTAAATATACATATATGTATATGTATGTTAGTGAAGTAATCATTATTAAAAAAAAATATACACATGACATCACGCCTTTTATCCTCGAAGGTGTAGGCAGAGGGGCACATTACGGCACTTAGTGCCACCATATAATGTAACACCCACTTTTCACTATTTATGTTATGAGTCCAGACTCCGTGCTACTACTGAGATTTTTTTACTAAACCCCGCAATGCTTTGTCCGACCCGGGAATCGAATCCCGAGACTCGGCGGGAACAAGGCAAAAAAAATATGACAACAAAATAGTTGCTCAACAAAAAATAAAAACAGTCACTCAGATGATGAGACAAAAATAAATAAAAATGAATTTCCGTTCATTAGTCCCGCTAAAACTCTAGGACGACTGAGCCGATTTGGCTAATTTTGTAATGTCTTGGAATGTTTGAGGAAGTCCAGAGAAGTAAGTTTTTAGGTATAAACACGTTTGCCGAAGCAGCTAGTAAATGAACAAAAAAGTAACTTACTTGGGTTGTTGTGTCGAAGGCACTTTGTTCGGCTCGCGCGGGTTATGAGACACCTTCCCGACCGACGGCAGCATATTATACACCTTGGGCTCTCTCTGCCCTATATGCGACGTCCTTATATTGGAAGCCACGTCATTCACTGGAGATATACAGTTCTCCGCACCCAACAACTCGTCTATACGAGCATAGTCCCCATCATTAATATCATTAGAGTACAAAGCTTCGTTCTGAGAGTTACTCATCACAGTCTTCGTATCCTGAACCGACACATAAGAATACCGCGTCCCGTTATTGTTCACCTGCAACTGCAGATTCAAATCTTTATACTTCCCCTTATTTGGCAGTGCGTATATCACCCCCTCAGCATTCGTATCCCAACTGCACTCCTTGTCAATCAACTCTGCACTGTTCTCTTCTATTTTCTGATCCTTCCGAATATCAGTCTTTGGCAGACTTCCACAGTAACTCGCCAACGACTTCTGGTAGTCGTTCAGACTTCTTCGACTCGATATCACCTTCCCAACCGGTCTTTCCGCGTTTGTCTGCTCTGAAAAAGACCGGCGGTACGTTGGGCGGATTTCTGGTGAATTTTGTGCGCTTATCGATCTTCTGAAGGAAGCTCCTAGCGTCGTGCTTCCCGTGGGCCAGTCGGGGACGGTGATCATGACGCCTCCCGACGTAGGGAGTGACGTCGCGCCATCCTTCCCTACCGCAGTCTCGTGCCTACCCAAAGTCGTCACACTGAGTCCCCTAGCATTAGGAATTCGCGCTAAAGGAGACACTCTAGGCGAGAGACAAGCTTCACAATGCGTCCTGATTCCAGAATTTTCTAGAGTACACTTACTGCACGACCACTTCTTCAAATGCAGTCCCCTACTCTGTTCCCTTTGGTACTCTTTCACGTAATTCAGTTCCCAATTGGACTTGCTCTCATTACACTTCTTGGGTCTTCGTGTCACCGTGTGCAGGCTTCGAAGGAACGACTCTCTAGGATTGCACTGACCGTATCTTTCGGAGACCATCAAACTTGTAGGTCTATTAATGGTCCCTCTACCACTCTCGTCGACTTTCCACCACTTTTGCTGTGAGTTTATAACAGACCCGTGAGACAGAGATCTGGTGACGCCGTGCGCGTGGTCCGTCAGTTGAGTGGGAGACAGCCGGAGTGACTGCAAGTCGAGGTTCAGTCGGCGACCGTCTGAGTAGCTCGTTGTAGGTTTATATGACGATGGGACAGCCAGGGTGTTGGACCTTATCATAGTGTTGTCTGTAAGGAGAAAAGTCACGTTCAAAAGCATTCTTCACTTGATCAAATATGACCGAGTTTTGGAAATGAAAACTGACACATACCTTGAGCAGACTTTTCTTTGTCCGTCATCCCTGAAGCTTGATCCTCATCATCAGACAGCCTGTAATAGCAAATTCACAGTTGTAATTTTATTAAAGTATGTATTTCACATAATTATCTCCAATAATTACCATGTTATAAGAGATCAAAGAAGGAATTTTAGACAGTAAAAAGATTTTTCAGCAACTACAAGACCTTATATTATAAGAAAATGACCTCGAACTGTGTTTTGTGTCACAAATTCCTTCTCTTCCTCCAAAAATTACTTTTAAATAGAAGCTCTTTAAAAACCAATAACTAAAAGAACGTATAATGAACAATAGTTACCTGTAGACAGGCGCGTGTGGCGCGAGCGCGTCGCAGGCGGCGCAGCGCCACGCAGCGGACACGTTGCGCAGGCCGCACGCGCACCGCCACGCGCGCGACGCCTCCGGTGCCGAGCCCACGCACGACCATCCGCTACAAACACGACACAAACATCTATCACATAGGAAAATAGAAAGAATAGAATAGAAAAATTATTTATTTGCTCAGAATGCAGGTATTTACAATAACATGATATTAAAACACTAATAAGATGTCCTTGTACATTCTACCATTTTTGGCATGTAAACATTGATACAGGTTCATCATCAGACATCTTATGACACAGTTACAATTTATCAGCTAAATAATCAGACTATTATATACAGATATTATGTATCTGTCTTTAACATCACAATGCACACTGTCTAGAGGTAAGATGCTCCTTTGACCATATAGGCAAAACCCCAAGCAACAGTTAGTAATATAAAAGGTAACAATAGAATTTCAGGGAACATATCGGAATTGGAACACAATTGTAACTTGTTCATAATAATAGGAATATCCTTCATGGCTCAGATCGCCTTACAAATAAACTAACCATTTCCTATTAAAATGAGCTACATGTTACATTTATCTATATGAATAAAATGGTTGAAATGTTCGTGGAAGTCCAGGAAAGGATTAAAAAGTAATAAATTTTTTAGGGCGGTACGTAATTTGCCGGTTCACAATAAATTCACATTGACACACACACTCTCGTTCACCCGGGGTCACCATTTGCAGATACAAAACCTTTTTTTTTACTTTATTTTATGAATAAGGCTTTTTTTCCGCAGAGAAAAACGTCAGCCCCATTATAGAATACAAAACTCAGTACATACTTCAATAAAGCAGCTAAACTGTTTATAAGTTTACCTACTCCTTAAACTAAAACATAGAATAATGAAAGGTGACAATTTTCTAGCCACAGATGACAATGGTGACTGGTGATCAGTCGATTACTATCTAGCTTGCAATAACATGTAATTGAATGATTATGTGCATGCTTGCAAACTTATTGCACATAGGTAATATTGAAAACATACTATAAAAATTTTGTATGTCTGTACAGACACAATGTGGCGCACTACCATAATATTATCTACCATCTATTGTAACATACCTACATTGACGAAATAAACAATATTTGTATTTTTTTTTTTTTTTTGTATTGGTATGGACAGAGGTAATGGAGAACTAAATGATTCTAGCATACCTCCATTATGTATATGTATTACTACCAATGTAAAAAAAAATATAATTAAAAAAGTGTTTCTAATATGATTATTATTTTATATTATTATCACTGTTTAAAGTTTCTTTGTTTGAAACTACTGAACGGATTTTGATGAAATTTGGTATACAGGCAGTATGAGCTGATTTGGGTGATAGCAAATTATTTTAATCCCAATTAATAAAACAGAAATAATATTTTATGTGGATGAAGTTGTGGACAACAGCTAGTAATCTAAGTATATGTACATAAGGTAAGCTGCATGATTTTTGCCATCGTTGTAGTATAAAAAAATGATAGATATTCTTAATAAGTTGTTGATGTTGTTGTACCCTAACAATATCACTGTTTTTCTTTGTTATACAGATAAGTTCTTGCTTCCACAGATACTTTTTTAATTTTTTTTTTATATTTTTGTTATACAATGCACTTATTTATATTACTCATAGTGTAATTCATAATATTTAATGTGAATAAATAAACTGAATAATAAATTAATAATTTCTTTGTTAATCCTTTGTTCTTAGTTGTAGAAGCCAAACTTATGTCATTAGTTAGTTTCTTATAAGATTTGTTATAGTAGTTTAAAAATTAATGTGAAATTAGTTTACTTACAAGACTGCTTGATGGAGTTTTGTGTTATTGGTACTCTCTTAGTGTTATGAACTATATTTTTACATAGATAGAATACTTAAATTAATTAATTTCATAGTTAGCACTTTGAATAGGAGTGTGAACACTGTATTGTCTAATAATAGGACTGAATATGTAACACTATTTGTGTTACAGGTAAGTAGTTGTGGCGTCGAAAAAAATTTTTTTTGTTCCTCGATTTTATCAGTTGCGCTCACTGACGTCAATGTTTTACGATTATAGTTTCACACTAAATCAGTTACAGAATACGTAAAAATAGTATTCGAGTTACGATTGTAAGGAAATGAACAATGAATTAATCTAAACAGCCCACAATACGTACCTACATACATGATGAACAATCAACACATATAATCACATTTTTAACACAATTGCTGACACAAATACTCCAAAAACTGCACGTTAACATCTAATTTAGTTAATGAACTGCCTTCCACTGCGCACAACAATGAAATACAATAGAAATATAACCTAAAATACGGGTCACGAAAAATCGATAATCTGCTGACAGAAACTCAACGACGGTCGTAATTACAAGAAAAAAAACACACCTGTTAAAGCTATGTTCAGTTGGTATGACGATCGCTTCTGATCCAGGTGTAGTTCCTTCGCTTTTTCCAGTACGAGATGTATATTCCGGCGACGAATCTCTATAATTTTCTTTAGATATTCCACTGTCATGACTCGATACCCGCTTTGTACCACATTTTAAACATTTTACACTTTCTGTTGGATTGATCTGGCCGCACGTCTGACAATGCCATTGCAGCACCGATGCGATTGAACCCATTTTAATTCACACATGGCTATGAGACCATAACAAGGCTTCGTTTTATGAAAACAAATTCAGATTTGAGAAAAACGAAAACAGCTGATCCACCATGTTGTTTGTGTATAACTTTTTTTTATATAGGTACGCGACGCGACGTCTCACTAAATTGTTTACGGTTTTATCGGTTTCTTTAATTTTTTTATTATATATTGAAAATTTCTTTTTAAAATAAATAGTTCAAAACATATTGCCCTTATTTTATATCACAAACAATAATTTATTTGAAATCATTTTCCAGAAAGTGACATCTATTGACACATATTTACACCAAAACAGTTGATGGATATGATTCTACGGTGTGCTTCTAGATGGCGCTGTATGCATGAAAATGGTAGAAACTATTTTATAACTCCAAATATTATTGTACCTACTTTAGCGAATTTTTATTAGGTTCGGTTAGGTTAACACGTTCAACGCGGAACGAGACCTTTTAGTTCTCGTTTGTGACGTTTTAGTATCGCGCAAGTGAAATCCTATGTCCATCTCGTTTCGGCAAATGATATTTCTGTATGATTTTTTACTGATAGAGTGAGACAAATATTTTTGTTCATATTAGGTACATTGGATGTAGTATTTTTATGAATGAAAACGAACGAGATCTGATAGGTCTCGTTGCGACCAAATAGTAAAATTTTGCATCTAGCGCGGAACGAGAACTAAAGGATCTCGTAGCGATTTCGTGCGAATCCTCACAAGAAAATAATTAGTGCCGTGTCAACTTTCGATGTGTGCATATCAATTACGCTATAGGTAATCAAGATGACGAATCGCAAACGCTGTCGAAAAATTTTAGAACTTTCTTTTAGTTCTTCCGAAGAACCTAACGTAAGAAATGAAAATAATCAATCTCCAAAATCTTCAACTCTGTTTCGGAAAGTGTTCAAACGTGTTCCTGGAGTGCGCAGTGAAAATATTTGTGTTAGCCCAAGTACTGGACATTCTTATCAAGAGCTTTATAAAATAGAATTAAGAATTTAATAGAAAGCATCATAACGAAATTCACAGGGGTTCCTTTTTTCCTGGCAAAAGATAATCCGGAAGTGACTACTGAACACAAATATATAGTGAATACCAAAAAGAGACGTTGTGTGAGTTGCTACGAAAAGGCACGAAAAACAATGACTAGCAAGGAAGCGGATAAAAAGACAAAACAGGTAGAAGGTTTCTGTGTGAAGTGTGAAAAAACTATGTGTCTTCCATGTTTTAATGAAAAACATTGACATTTTTTGCACTGAATAGTTTATAAGTTTCTAATGCCTTACACTATAGTATTATAATAAATGATTAATATCGATAATGTTGTTGGTCTTATTGTTTCTCATCACTATTTTTTTTATCGATACTATGCAATATCTGCAAAACGAGATCTAAAAGTACTCGCATTTTCTTGCTATCTAGTGCAGAACGAGATCCAAAAGTTCTCGTTTTTCTATTTTGTAAATTTTCCATTATTTTTTTCGACATAACTTGAGGCGGTGAAAGCCTGCTGAAAGGTCTGATCATCTCCTACCTACACATACGAAAAAAATATAAAAATTTTCAAATTTCATAAAACTATTGGGGTTTGAAGTGACTAAGTCGTACGAGATCTGCTGGATCTCGTTGCGTTATTCCTGATGGACCACAACGAGAACTTTTAGATCTCGTTGCGTCATATTAACTAGATGCATAAATGGGCTTCCGCGATGAACGTGTTAAGTAGGTACGTACATCAATATTTGGTCTTGTGTCATAAGAATCCCTACCTAGATGGATTATAAAGCTAGCTAGAATATAATATTTTGGAGACTCAGTTGCCAAAGAAGAAAAAAAAATATATAATATAGCCTAAGATTAATCAGCGTAAATTCCTAAAATAAAGCAAAAAATCCAATAAAGCTTGAAATAAATGTAAAATGTAAATTATTCCGAGGAACAAATTATAACACAATCACAAAAATAAACAAAATAGTTTAATTTCAACAATAAATTAAATTAAATAGCAATAATTCATTAATATTATATGACCAAATGAAACAATAGCTTATAATAAAGGCATATGTTTAAAATTAAATTAACGAAAATCGTTATTTACACTATCAATCACGAATGATTAAAAGGCCAAAATTGTGTGTTATTGCCGTTCATACCAATTCGACGGCAATAAGTTTAAAAACCCCACGGTGGAATATCGTTCGCTGATATTCGAATGAATTTTGAATTATCGTTATTTCTCCAATGCGGATGTGATAACGGATTTCATAAAGTACTATTAAGGGGTGCGCACATTTGCGTTTTACGGTTTTTGCAATAAGTTCTCGGGGCAGCCCTAATGTTTTTCGTGTTGGTGTGAAGTGTGAATTGCGTTTTTGTAGATTTGCAGTGAATTATTTTCAAAGTTAGTGAATTATATCAAAGATTATACCTACCTAGATGATTCATATTTAGTTTAAAGTTTATTTTAGTCAAGTGAGAACCTTCTAGAATTGTTTCGTGTTTGATGCAAAATGATTTTATCGGTTTTCGGTGGTGGTAAAGTTCTCGAAGCCACAAAATACCTTCTTACTAACTAAACAATCACTTTTTATTTTTACAAGTAATTGTCATTCAGTAGTTGGGTAATGTTAGGGGCGGTAATTTTCATTTTATCAAGCTTATGTACAATATCCACTACTAATCCGAGGCCATCCAAAGAGGGAAATCTAGGTAGATTAGGAAGATATCTATGCCTGCCTACCTATTACTGACCAACTAGGTACAAATAAGTTTTCTAATACTCAATTAGGAATTCTGAAATCGAATCCATAACGATTTGAATACTAAACACATTACTTCCTTAGTTCCTTAATACCAATGCATAAATGTGATGGAACACCAATTTGAATCTATCCGGGTAACTGGCCGGTGAGCCGGATGACCGGGCTCACATCACTCCGATTCCGACCAAGTTCAGACACCGTTTAAGCTAAGCGTACATTACCGGTTTGAGGGTATGGTCTTAGTAACAGCGACAAACATACGCATAATAAGTAGTATCTCTGTATATTCGTACTAAATAGGGTTTGGTCTTAGATATATAGACAGTGAATGGTACCAAAAGACAATTTTGCGATAATATTGTAAGTTTTGTAACCCGCTGTCACTGAGGCCGCACCCTAAAGCCGAACAATTGGACGGAATTTCATTGCAAACGTCCAAATAAAAGACCCATTTACCTACAACGTTCCAAATTCAAATGTAGTTTAATTTTAAGACGCTCTAATTGGATGGATGCAGTTTCCTAGTCTATGCGTGCATTCGAATGTACATTTGAATTCGATTTTTTTTTCTCTCTTTGGTAAACGATTCGATTTATTTATCTGTAGTTAAGTACAATGATTAATGATTAAATTCGCCCACTTCTCATGCATGAGGGTGCGAGTTCGAAACCTACCAACGGCAAGTACCAATGTGACTTTTTCCGAGTTATATACGTACTTTCTAAGATCTAGACACCACTGAAGGAAGGACACGGTGAAGGAAAACATCGAGCGAAAACCTGGGCTTATAATTTCTAATTATAAGTTTGTAATCGCCAACCCGCATTGAGCAAGCGTGGTGATTAATGCTCAAAGTGTGAGAAGAGGCTTTGCTTAGCAGTGGACACTTATACTGACTTATAGGCTGTTGATGAGGATCTGAAGTACAATGACTTAGGAAAAAATAAGAAAAAGACGTTCTTTAAAAAAAAGGAAAAATACATTGTTTGATAGATATACGGTTTCGGATTGTAGTTCTATGCCAAACACAGTTCAATTTTTTCGATTTCCGAAAATTACATACGGTTTGAGTTTATTCAGTTTTATAAAAGATAATTAAACCGAGCCTAGGCGGTCGGAACCGGCCGGCCAACGACCTCGGGCCTACGCCACGCGCCGCCGCCACACTACGGTTAAAGATCAACGCACACTAAACTTATTCGAAAACCGAACTCGACAAAAAAATTATGGACACCTCGCACACATAGCCTCGCTGAACAAAGTGTAGGAGAGCCATGCTTCTACACAAAAGTACCAGCTTGAAAGAAAACCTAGTTTCGCCCTGTGAGTCGACGCCGAAACAAATGACTGCACGGTTGGCGCGGTGGCTGGGCAACCGGCTGCCGTGCAACGTGTCGCTGGTTCAATTCCCGCACGGAACAACACTTTGTGTGATCCACAAATTGTTGTTGCGGGTCTGGGTGTGATTGTGTATGTGAACTTGTATGTTTGTAAACGCACCCACGACACAGGAGAAAATCCTAGTGTGGGGCAACGTTTTTATAAAAAAAAAAAGAAAAAATCGAATCATCGAAAATCGAAGAAAAATTTTTTTTTGTTAATTTAATGTCGCACTGTTACACGTGAATCACAGAATACGAGGGTCTCGGTCGAATGATCCACATGAACTATGAACAACAAACACTGATGACGTCATGCGATTTTACCAAAAAATAATAAAATACCTACTCTAAACAACCTACATTCAGAACAAAATTCATTTCGCTCGACACGTTCGACGCGTTCGGCTCGAGTGAGTATACGTACTATGCGTTCACCTTAAACCGCAACTGTTTTAAACCGTCTGGTATTATGAAACGAGCACACGAACGCAGACGACCGCAGCTGCGGTTTTCCCCCGCACCGACGTGTTTTAGCTTAGTATTCGATCTACTGTCGAGAGGGACTGTTGTCTTGCTGGACCATTCAAATAACCTATTTATTACAATAATGTCGTCATCCGAATCGGAGTCAGTATCATACGTAGAATACGAGAATTTATCCCAGAAAATCATAATGGAAGTAGAGAAAAGGCCAGCTTTATACGACACGGCATTGCGACAAGATAGAATAACGAAAAACACGCTTTGGGAGGAAGTTTATCAACACGTGTTTAGTAATTGGGAGACACTGTCGAAGGCTGAGAAAATACAGAAGGGTAAGTTTTTAAAAATGTATTTATTTATTACAAACAGTTTGCATACTCCGCAACTCCGTTGGGTTAAGTTAACCTTGCGCCTCGCGCCAGACCGCGTCTGACCCCCACCCGCGCTGCCCCCTCCCCGCGCTGACCCTGCACACGCGCAGCGCGCAGCTCGCGTACACACTTACATACACCTATAGTCCATCTGTTTAGGTAATTAACTAAAGGTAAACAAAGAAAACCACGTGACACAGAGATACTTAACCTACTATTAGGTACTTCAAATATTTCTCGTGTTTTAATTTTAACTAAATTCACTTTAAAATCGTTCATTTCTCATACACACACATACAAGTACAAATGCCTAAATCGTACAAGAGCCTAGCCTATGGGTCTATTTCATTATCATGTTTAAATAGAAACTATTCTGAATCTGATGTACGGATTTCTTTCTTGTACGGATATCTGTCTTTGGGCCAAGTTTCTTCAATATATTTGAACACATTAATTACAAACGATGATTAACCTAAACTTAAATAACTTAATAACAAAAACAAAACAAAGGAACAAGTTAAATTCAACAAAACAGGAACGCGAGCGCAAACGACGAGAGAGCTGTCAATGGCGCCTGATTAACCGACTAAACGTAATACACGCTACTTTCATTGTCGCGCTACATCTTAGTTGTACTCTTTAATTTGACAACATTATTTTGCTTCGTTCTTAAAGAAACGTTTTGGATACCTGGGATTTTAGGCTCTTTATGGTGTCTATTGTAATGAAATATTATATTATTTAATAAATGTTATTAAATTAATATCCTTAAGCAGATATATTTAATATTTATTAAGAAATAAGTGAAAAGGAACAGAAACATAACATTTAATAGAGAAAACTGTCGTAAAAAGGGAAACAATTTTATTTTCTTATGAAGTATTTTAAATCATGGAAATGTCAACTATAAAGAACTCTTTTTATGGTTTGTTTACAAATAGTTAACTACCTAAACAGACGGAGTATAGTTTTGTATTAAGTCTTATCTGTGGTTGTACGCGTGGCGGACGCGAGCGCGGTGCTCATCGTCTGAACTGAATACTTATTATAATTGAGTATTTTTTCGCTTTATTTTAATTATGTTTACAATATTAGGAACCGAGGCTTTGGAATTGATGTTCTTTCACAATAAAATTGTGCTATGTTTATTGACCCATCTTCTATTTTTCGATAATCTTCCAAACACCTTTTGTAAAAAACTGTTGTACCGGTCTTTTACTGGTTCTTACTTAATACTAAGTATTTCCAGTATCCAGATACCTGAAAAAGCCCATACTTAGGTACTATTAATATGAGAATGTTTACTCTTGTTACAGGGCACAGAGTTCAAAAGAGATGGAAGAATATGCGGGACAGTTTTGCTAAAGAACTAACTATGCAACGTCGGAAATCTGGTCATGGCGCTATCAAAAAAAGAAAGTACGTTCATTTCGATTCTATGATGTTTTTGGTGCCATCACTGCGGAAGAAAGAAACTAGCACAAATACAGAATCTACCTCACAGGACAACACTGGTATGAAGAGCCCAAAAGACGTAACTGAAACAAATAGTATTCGGACCTCGTTCTTTAAAAAGGATTCCAAAAATTCTAAGACCCAAAGAGACGATGAAGAGGATGAACAACCATTACAAAGTTTAACTTCATCCTATAAAGCAGTTTCTAAAAGCCAAAGGGAAGTTGAAGACGAAGTACAAAATGTGCCAAAACTATTAAACTCTACGCACTCCACGGTAAATACGAGTGCATATGACGAAGATATAAACTTTACACAGATGCTTATCCCAATGTTACGTAAACTTGATGAAGATCAGAAACATTTTGCTAAGGTAGGAATTCTGAATATCTTGCAAAAAGCCAAATCTTTATAATGTGTTGTCATCACAACTTGGACCATCAATTCACAGTTGGAGATCAAAATCAAGGAAAGAAAGAGAGAAGGAGAGAAAGGAAAATCGGGCACTGGTCATAGATATAAGAAGATTTTTTTAAATATTCCGGTGGCACTGATAGTGATTACATCTGCCGGTCACTTAACGTCAGAGACAACTGCCGTCGCTAGGACGAGGTGCACCGTTTCTATTTTTATGCATTCCGTAAAAGACAAGACACAAAACAATAAACAAAACATAAAGTTACAATTGTTATGTTATTCAATCATTTTGGTTATTGACTTTTTGAAAATATAGATACTTCAGTAGTTATAATCATCATCATCATTAGCCTATAAATGGTCACTGCTGAGCAAAGCCTCTTCTCACACGGAGAAGGTTTGAGCATTAATCACCATGCTTGCTTAATGCGGGTTGGCGATTACAAACTTATAATTGGAAATTATAATTCCACGGTTCCTCACGATGTTTTCCTTCACCGTTTGTTAATGGTGTCTAGATAATCTTAGAAAGTACATATAACTCTGAAAAAGTCACATTGGTACTTGCCATTGGTAGGATTCGAACCCGCACCCTCATGCATGAGAAGCGGGCGTCTTAAACCTCCGGGCCACCACGACCACCACCGCAGTTGTTATAATAAGTTGCACTATATTTTATAGTACCATCGTTGGTAACAAATCTTACGGCCCTCCTGATGGTAAGCGGACACCATCTTAGTGCATTTGCAACACTACATAACATAACATAACATAACATCACGCCTTTTATCCTCGAAGGGGTAGGCAGAGGTGCACATTATACCACTGTACAATGTAACACCCACTTTTCACTATTTACGTTATGAGTACCATGTAATAGGGGGTGAGCATATTGCCATATACCGGGCAATCCGGGCACAGTTCCAGACTCCGTGCTACTACTGAGAATTTTTAAAAAACCCATTGTTTATACTGTTATAGTTGCTGGTTGATCTTCTAATTCTAATTATGCTTTATTAGGTGGTTTACGTGCTGTTGCACAAACTATTTCTTATGAAGTTAGATTAGCTTTAATTTGCCCGGGTTCGATTCCCGGGTCGGGCAAAGCATTAACTTTGCCCGACCCGGGAATCGAACCCGAGACCCCTTACCCGGCAGTCGCAATTGCGACCACTCGGCCAACGAGGCAGTCATTTGCAACACTCTTGTGCATTATATGTATATGTATTACAGACTAATGGAGGGAACCACTTTGATTGCACCACCGTGTCCTTGAGTGCAAAACCTAAAATAATGGCACGACAACGATTAACTAGAACAAATACACACGGCCACACATCAATCTATACAACACCAGTTTATCCTGGTGTCGCGTCGCTTCATCTTTCCGCACATTTAACGTTCAGTTTATACTGGTTATGTACAGCTCGATGTGTAGCTGGGAGTACGAAGTGATGCATTTCAAATAAATTTAGAGACATCATCTCAACGTGCCTTATTGGTCGTTTTTACAAACCCACCCTTAAACTATGTCCATAATATCCCCAAGCGGTCACCGGTGACCGCTCTCCACTAACTACATTATAGACCTTATTTTCAATGTTTAGAGACTACTTTTGTATGAACAAATTTAGGGGATGATTTTCAACAGGTTAACTAAAAGTTACTTAGCGTGACGTAGCACTCCTAACTAATTGTGCAGGTAGGTATAGTTTGCGAAAACCACAATGTCGTTAAATATTACTTATCTTAGATTAGGGATTGCCTACCTTCTTAAGAGAGGTTGGTGAAAAGGGACGTAGGTCTCTTCAGAGGACCCGGTGCCCCCTTACAGGTGCTGAGGGTGGCCACCGGGGTGGTTTTAGTGAGGTAAGAATCCCACACTCCCTAGTCTTTCTCCCCAAAAAGCTAGGCGCCTTTTGAAGGTTTCCCCACGACATCAAAAAAAAAAAAAATCCAAAACTACTCCAAACAAAAAGCAGGTCCAGAACAATTAATTTAACTACCACAAAGCCGGGCACAGGTCAACTGCAAGTTTAAATCACAATAATTACAACAACATACAAAACACAGCATAACCGCTTGATATTAATGTGATCGCAGCTTAATGGGAATTTAAGCCAATAATTACGAGTCCATTGTCCCATTGCTAAGTGGATGCGAGAGGCTATTCCGAGCATGCCGCGCAATGTAACTTTAAATTATGTCATGCAACTGTCAAAATCATTCGTGTATTGTTTCTGACAGTTATGCGCACTTGATTTGGTGGTCCGCCATATTGTGGACTGCTTGCTCTTGATTGCTCGTTGAAGGGTCATTATTATTGTTTATGGGTTATTTTAGACGTAAATAAGATAACAGGTGGAATTGAGAGGATGAATGTGGACGATGTGTGTGGTGTTGAAGTGTTTTATGACTTTGGAAGTTGGTTTTGGTAGTAATTTCTTTGGTTGTCATAAGTTTACGCTTTATGGATGGTCGAAACGAGCCGCGGAAAAGGTTGCAGGAATGGGTCAGTAAAATAGTTAGTTTATGCAGTAGTTTTAGTCAGTAAAATACTGATACTCTCTCCCGCCTCACCCAGGTGGGATAAGTCATTCGATGATTTTCCCCCGTCAAAAAAAGGGATGGTTTAAATATATCAGTTGTAGCTTTGAATTCCACGAGTAGGTATCTACATGCTTCTGTTAAATGATTGATTACATTAAATGAATGATTGATAAAATGGACACTATGAATGATGAATGGTCAACGAGATACATTTTAAAATTTAAATTTAAAACAGTCATTAGTCGAGCGGCTACTGACTGTCATTATAACAAGTTAGATTAGCAAATACCGTCTTACGAAGTTTTAGGTATTTTTTGTGTAACCTCAATAATGCAGTGTCTAATGTCTTCTGTTTTACATACCACTTCGAGCACGAATAAAGTTATTTTAATAACATAAATACCATCAAAAACAGCTGTTACATCGAGCAGCACTTACAGGCAGCCACTTGGTTCAATTTCACCCCTTTCTCATAGATCCCACAATTTCCCTGAAAGCGTACAATGGTGACTTAATCAATCTTATTCATACGAGAGCGGTTTGAACATATTTTTTATATGAAAACTAATCTATCTGAGGCTTGCATGAGGCATGAAAAGCACCTGTGGATTTATTGTCCTGGAAAACCTCTTCAACGAAAACTAAACCATACAACCTGTATATTTAGGTTGAATTTCATTCAAAGGGTATGGTTTTGGATTCGGTAGCCATTTTATCTGTTAAAATAATCCATCTTTATCAGATGCTGACAGTTTTGTGTTTGGAGATGCATCGTTTGAACATATTTTTTGTACACATACCGTAAAAGGATTAACGATTACGGTAGCCAGAATTATTATATGCAATAATACTTTTTGTTGTATAGAAGCACTATTTTATATTTATTGTCAGTATACATCATTATGTGAGCACCATGTTAGACGTACTAACTAAATACTTCAAATAATTGAAAATTGGTGCATATTACTTATCTATTGTAACATACCATAAAAGGCTTTATATAGCACAAATTGATATTACCAAAATAACTTTGCAGAAGATTGGCAAGGGAACAAGTTTTCTAAGATATTTGCATCGTCATCACACGGTGCCCTGGTACCCTTTGGCCATCACAATGGCTGACCCAAGCATTGTAAACACCCTGTGTTAGTATACAGCGGGTTTTTGTTAGGATTTTTGCGGATTTGCTTAGCTATTACGGTATAATACTTTAAGGATGTTTGTGTGTTTATCGTAATTGGGATGATGACAATCTTGAGTAGACAATAAACGTTCCGTTTCATACTAGCTCTCAAATACGCCTCGCCAATCAAGAAGTTGTCGTGTCAAAATGTATAAATTAACAAAAAATATGAATAATTTCACGCGAACGTAGTAACAGCTAGTAAATAGAATATTATGATTTACTTTTACTTTGGCCGAGTGCTCGCATTTGCGACTGCCGGGTGTCGGGTTCGATGCCCGGGTCGGGCAAAGTACTACTGGGTTTAAAAAAATTCTCAGTAGTAGCATGGAGTCTGGAACTGTGTCCGGTATATGGCGGTATATAATAGGCTCACCCCCTATTACATGGGACTCATAACATAAATAGTGAACAGTGGGTGTTACATTGTACAGTGGTATAATGTGCATCTCTGCCTACCCCTTCCAGGATAAAAGGCGTTATGTTATGTAATGTTTTAGGATATGATAAGTGACTATTACCTAACTAATATTCAAGGATTAGTAGGACTTAACCGATTAACAGGGTTTCGTTTGTTAAAAATCTACAAAAAAAATTATTCATGTTATGTTTGTTGTGTGCTAACTTTCCACTTATTGACCACTTAAAAGAAATAAGTGCAAATGCAATTTTAATTACATTACATCGATCAAAATTGTGATACCTTTTTGAGCAACTATCAATCACCTACTCCACGTGCAAACGGTACATTATTCTAAGTAGGTAAGGAACATACGACTTAAGTGATCACTTTATATTTACTAAGGCTTCCCCCAAATTCAAAAGAACACCAGGTGCAAAGAATTCTCGGGAATTTTCCGTTATTTGGCTTCCGAGCAATATGTCGTGTATTCGATTCCCGAACGGATCAAATATTGGTTCGATATACACATATGTAGTTTGTTCCGGGACAAGTGATTCATGTGTTTGTAAACACACGATATTGGAACAAATCCTTGTGTGGGACAATCAGTTTATTTCAAAGATTTTTTTATTGGATAAGCCGATAAACGAGCTTACGGTTCACCTGATGTTAAGCAATCGGCGCCGCCCATGGACACCCGGAACACCAGAGGCGTTACAAGAGCATTACCGATCCTTTGGGGATTAGTAGGAATTCAAGGATTGTTGGGGATTCAGGCATTATTGGGGCGATCGGGGAAGGCAGGGTGGATAATTGGGCCTCCTGTAACCTCACTCACACGACGAAACACAACGCAAGCGTT